AGTCGGTGAGGCTGCGCTGTGCCGGGGTACAGTCGGTGAGGCTGCGCTGTGCCGGGGTACAGGGTCGGTGAGGCTGCGCTGTGCCGGGGTACAGAGTCGGTGACGCTCCGGGAACCCCCCTGTGTCCGCAGGTTCGTCAGTGACTCGGTGCTGCTCGGGGAGATGATGTCGGACCCCCTGCTGCACCAGTACGGGGTGGTGGTGCTGGACGAGGTGCAGGAGCGCTCCGTGGCCAGCGACGCCCTGCTGGGGCTGCTGCGCGACGTGTGCGCCCAGCGCACCGAGCTGCGCGTGGTGCTGCTCGCCTCGGCCCTGCTGGCCCCCCGGCTCTCCGCCTTCCTGGGCGAGGGCGTCCCGCTCATCTCTGTGCCCCCGCGCGCCCCCCCTGTTGCCGTGGAGACGCTGTACCGGGACCCGCAGGGCAGGGACCGCCCCGCCGCTGCCTGTCACATGGTGCTGGACGTCCACCGCAAGGGAGAGCCGGGAGACGTCCTGGTGTTCCTGCCGAGCCCAGAGGTACCAGACCCCATTCTGCTCTTATCTCTGACCCTGCGTGGCCCTCGGGCTGTGAGGAGGGCGTGAGAGAGGCGGTGTGGGCTGGGTTCGCAGCCCAGGCTGGGGAAGAACATATTTGTGTCAGGAGGCTGAAGGCATGATGTCTGCCATCCCTTTAAGAGCCCCTTAAACACTTCCTGTCCGCCGGGCCTGTCGGAGAAGGGCAGGGGCCCATAGTGAGGAAGACAGCAGGTCTCGCTGGGTTAGTTCCCTGCTGGTGTTCGTCTGGGCTCTGCTAGTGCTCTGGACTGTGTTTCACTGTCATTGCACAGCCCCAGTGCCTGGCCTTGACTCCTGCATCCGTCTTCTCTAATTCTTCTGTGTGTCAGGGTAGGACGTTCCCTTCAGTCCCGGGCTGTGTGTGTTTGCTCTTCTCTGGCCACAAAAGTGCTCTGGGCGGGGCTGGGAGGCAGACTCTGGGCGGCACTTTGTGGGATACTGTGGGGGATACACTGCTCTAGAGAGAGGGGATTGTGGGGGCGTCGCTGGTCTGGAGAGAGGGGATTGTGGGGCGTTGCTGGTCTGGAGAGAGGGGATTGTGGGGGCGTCGCTGGTCTGGAGAGAGGGGATTGTGGGGCGTCACTGGTCTGGAGAGAGGGGATTGTGGGGGCGTCGTGTGATCCCGCGCTGTGTGATGTGACTCTCTCCGCCCTCAGGAGATCTTGGAGTGCAGCGCGCTGATCCGCACAGAGGCTGTGGCCCTGTCGCCCCAGCTGGGGGAGGTGTGCGCTGTGCCGCTGCACATGGGGCTGGGCCAGGGGGCGCAGCGTGTGTACGAGGGCGAGGGCGGGCGGCGCCGCGTGGTGCTCACAGACACGCTGGGCGAGGCCTCCTTCTCCCTCGGCAACATCCGCTACGTCGTGGACACTGGCGTCGCCCTCAAGACTGTGAGTCTGTCCCTCAGTTCCCTTCGCTGTGTCCCTCTGTCTCTCTGCGTCTCGGACTCTGTCTCGCTGTGTATCAGTGTGTCTCTCTGTCTCTCTGTGTGTCTCTGACTCTGTCTCGCTGTGTATCAGTGTGTCTCTCTGTCTCTCTGTGTGTCTCTGACTCTGTCTCGCTGTGTATCAGTGTGTCTCTCTGTCTCTCTGTGTGTCTCTGACTCTGTCTCGCTGTGTATCGGTGTGTCTCTGTCTCTCTGTGTGTGTCTCTCTCTGTCTTTATCACTGTGTCTCTGACTCTGTCTCTGTGTGTATCAGTGTGTCTTTGTCTCTCTGTCTTTATCTCTGTGCGATCAGTGTATTCCAGTGTTATACTACGTTTATATTGTACTGCATCAGTGTTGTACCACATTAACATTTGCTGTAATTTACTAAGCTTGTGTTGGGCTTTTCCCAGGACTATGTGCTCCTAACACGCTTGTGTTAGCTTTCACTCTGCTGTTCACTGAGCACTTAGCGTGCTGAGCCACAGCACACTTTCCTAGGCAAGGCTTACAGTGACACAAAACCCTTATCTCACCTGCCCAGATTTGCATATTTCATCCACCTCAGGAAGAGCTACATGTCTAATTTACATACTCCACTCTGAGGCAGGGACAGCGAGTGGGCTGAGTGCGGGGCTGGAGCTCTGAGAGACCAGGGACAGTGAGTGGGCTCAGTGTGGGAGTGGAGCTGTTGCCAGTGGAAGCCGAGAGAAAGGGTTTCAGAGATCTGCGAAAAGCAAACCCGAAGAACTCCAGCACACCTGGGCCCTCCTCTCCCTTGGCCAGAGCAGAGAGACTGCAGACGTCACCTACAGGGGCTTGTCCAGTGTCCAGTGTCCAGTGTCCAGTGTCCAGTGTCCAGTGTCCAGTGTCCAGTGTCCAGTGTCCAGTGTCCAGTGTCCAGTGTCCAGCACACTGGGGGCCAGGCACTGAGGAAGGGCTCCCCACTGGCCTTGGGTGCAAAAGAGAGGAAATCCAGGCATAACACAACTATCGACCTATGCAAAGCAGGTGGTAGGGCTGACGGGAAGTGTCTGTGCGTTGGGTGGATTAAAATTCCCCAAGGAAATGTTAAACCTTTTCCTCAGGTTCTGCAGGTAGATTGTGTGGCCTGTTTTGTTTTTCCTTTTCATCCTTTTTCCTGGGGCCAGTGCGTCTGCGGGTTTTCTGTGTCTGTTCCAAGCAGCAGCACCTGGAGAGCTGGGAGATTCTGCTGCTCCCGTTAGGTTACTAACGATCTGATAAGCTCGTTAGGAGCCGAGGTTCAGTGAAGACCTGCAGACGCAGGCTCTCCAGCCCTGCTCTAGGCTCGTGCTCCCCTGAGTCAGGGTGCTCTGCTCCTCTGCCATAGGTTTATAATCCACGAATCAGAGCCGACTCCCAGGTCCTCCGGCCAATCAGCAGGAGCCAGGCAGAGCTGCGCAGGCAGCGAGTGAGCAGCGGCCCAGGTAAGGGCAGCACTGCCGGTCACCGAGCACACATGTACGTCCATCTTCCTGGAGGCATGACAAACTGTTCCTTCAGGATCTTCCTGGAATTGAAGGTGTTTTGCTTGGCTGTGCTGTCAGTTGATGGTGCAGCAGATGTAGAGGGGAGTTTGGGATTGTATCTGCTCTCTCCAGCAAAGGGAGGGCTTCCTCACCAGGGCTGCCTGCAAGGCTCAGGGCTGCTTACAGTGTCTCTGTCTGCAGGGCTCAGGGCTGCTCTCAGTG